AGTTTGGAAGCATGGCAGGCTCCAACGTCTACCTCACGCCCCCCAACTCTCAGGGCTTCGCCCCCCACTACGACGACATCGAGGCTTTCGTGCTGCAGCTGGAAGGCAGGAAGCTCTGGCGTGTGTACCGGCCCCGGGTCCCCGCTGAGGAGCTGGCCCTGACTTCCAGCCCCAACTTCAGTCAGGACGACCTCGGGGAACCGGTGCTGCAGACGGTGCTGGAACCTGGAGATTTGCTCTATTTTCCGCGGGGCTTCATTCACCAAGCCGAGTGCCAGGATGGAGTCCACTCTCTGCACTTGACCTTGTCCACGTACCAGCGCAATTCCTGGGGCGACTTCCTAGAGGCCGTCCTGCCTTTGGCCATGCAGGCTGCAATGGAAGAAAATGTGGAATTTCGGAGGGGTCTGCCCCGAGACTTCATGGATTACATGGGGGCCCAGCATTCCGATTCTAAGGATCCGCGAAGAACCGCCTTCATGGAGAAGGTGCGGGTCTTGGTTGCCCGCCTGGGGCATTTTGCTCCTGTTGATGCTGTGGCTGACCAGCGAGCCAAAGATTTCATCCACGATTCTCTGCCCCCTGTTTTGACTGATAGGGAGAGGGCACTAAGTGTTCACGGGCTCCCCATTCGCTGGGAGGCCGGAGAACCTGTAAACGTGGGGGCCCAGTTGACAACAGAAACGGAAGTCCACATGCTTCAGGATGGGATAGCTCGGCTGGTGGGTGAGGGAGGCCAATTGTTTCTCTATTACACGGTGGAAAACTCTCGTGTTTATCATCTGGAAGAACCCAAGTGCTTGGAAATATACCCCCAGCAAGCCGATGCCATGGAACTCCTGCTTCGCTCCTACCCAGAGTTTGTAAGGGTAGGGGACCTGCCCTGTGACAGTGTGGAGGACCAGCTTTCATTGGCAACCATGTTGTATGATAAGGGGCTGCTGCTTACCAAGGTGCCTCTAGCCCTAAACTAGTTTCTTGTTGATTGCTGGAAACAAGGCAGTAGTGATTTTCCCCGCCACTGCCACCTTTTTAAAACTCGTGTCCTTACCTTGACAACCATCAGTGTGCTCACATTTACCTTTATGATTGCATCGATGTCACAAAATTCAGACTGTCTTCTAGGAAGAACCACCTCATCTAGGTACAAACATAAAAGCAGAAGTTGGAGTAAAAAAAAGTAACCTTGATTCCTGATCACTGCAGAGCACCAATCTTCATTACCCTCAGGCTTTGGTGTACTGTGTAGCACTGGCGGTGTTATTCTGCTTAAGACATTAGGAATTTTTTTTTTTTTTTTTAATTTTCATCTTTCATTCGAGTTCTCTTTCATCAGTTTGGGGATGAGGGTCGGGATCAGTATCCTGTTTGTTAATATTAAGTTTGTATGAACATTAGAAAAGTTTATTATTAAAGTGCCAAAGAATGTTTCCCTTTTCTAAGGCTAGATTATTATGTGGGATTGTTTGAAGAAATGAAGGAGGGGGAGGAATATAGGGAAAATCTGTAATGCTTGAGGTGAAAAGCAAGTTGGGGTGTTTGTCGGATGTAAAGAAAGCATGTTTTTTTTTTTTTAAATTGGAGTCTCATTCTGTTGCCCAGGCTGGAGTGCAGTGGCATGCTCCTGGTCACTGCAGCCTCGACCTGCTGGGTTCAGGTGATCCTTCCACCTCAACCTTCCAAGTAGCTGGAACTACAGGCATGTACTACCAAGCCCAGCTAATTTTTAAATTTATTGTAGGGATAAGGTCTCCCCAAGTTACCCAGGCTGGTCTCGAACCTGTGGGCTCTCACCTCGGCCTCCCAAAATGCTGGGATTATAGGCATGAGCCACCGCACCTGGCCAGGAAGCGTGTTAATCAGCCTTTCACAGAAGAGTAACTCATTTGTTTGGGGCCAGTCCTCTGACTTTGGGGGTAATTTATTCATTTTAATTATGCTGTTTAATTATGCTACTTGAACCCCACACAGCCCAATCCTAGTAGAAAAGGTATTTTCCCCCAGTAAAGTCAGCTTCGGGGGTATTAGGTTTTTGCCTAGTGTTTGTGTCACTGGCTGGCACTGCTCTCAAAGGGGCAGCATTTTACCTAGTTGTGCTTTCATAGGCATTAGTCATCCAGTGTTTAGCAAGCTGGCTGTGAGGGAAGGTTGGTGTTGAAGTTACTTTCCACTCTCATTTTTTTCTGGCAGTTGGAAGAAACTTCCCCAAGTCTGGCAAGTGAATATTCTCATGCTTGGTGGAAAAGTGCCTGGTGTACCAGAAAGAGCACTGGACTTGGAACCAGAAGACCTGGGTTTGGGGTGGTAACTGGTAGGCAGCTGGTTGAGTGACCCGAGGCTGCTGCTACACTTGGGCACACAGATTTTGTAAGTATATTTTGGTACGGCTTAATTTCTGCACCCTCACCATTTAGGTTGTGTTTGGGACTCTTGAGATCCTATCACCATAATGGGTAGGCTCAGTTATTTAAGGTTGAGAACAAGTCTTTTTTTAAAAATTACAGAAGCAGGTGGCCAGGTGTGGCTGCTCACACCTGTAATTTCAGCACTTTGGGAGGCCAAGGTGGGAGGATTGCTTGAGCCCAGGAGTTCCAAGACCAGTATGGGAAACAGAAAACCTCGTCTCTTTAAAAAAAAAAGTTACAAAAACATAGTTGTGCATAAAGATGATAGCTCTCCCTCCAACCCCACTTTCCAGAGGTAACCACTATTAAAGGTTAAGCTTATAAGACTTTTTTTAAAGGCTTTTTTTTTGTGGTTAGTCAAACATAAATTTTAGTTTTTATTTATTATTTATTCGGGTACGGCTGAGCCCCGAGCCCGGCTTATTTATTTATTTTTGAGTTGGAGTCTCACTTCCTCACCCAGGCTGGAGTGCAGTGGCATACTTACGGCCACCCCAGCATCGACCTGCTGGGCTCCGGGGATCCTTCCGCCTCAGCCTTCCAAGTAGCCAGAATTACAGGCACACACTATCACGCCCTGCTGATTTTTGATTTATTGTGGAGTTGAGGTCTCACCAAGTTGCCCGGGCTGATCTTGAACTTGTGGGCTCAGGCAATCCACTGGCTTCGGCCTCCCAAAGTGCTGGGATTACAGGCCAAGCCACTGACCCTGGCCTTTTTTTTTTTTGAGTTGGAGTCTCACTCCGTCACCCATGCAGAAATGCAGTGATGCATTCATGGCCTCTGCAGCCTTGAACTCCTGGACTCAGGCAATCTTTCAACCTCAGACTTCCAAGTAGCTAGGACTATAGGCGTGTACCACCATGCCTGGCTAAGTTTTTAATTTATTGTAGACCGTGGATCTCACCAAGTTGCCCAGGTGGGTCTTGAACCCTTGGTCTCAGGCAGTCCTCTCACCTCAGTCTCCCAAAGTGCTGGGATTATAGGCATGAACGCCTGGCTAGTTTTTTGTTTTTTATAAAGACTTGATTTTTTGATTATGTTTTTTATTGACCTAACTTTTAAATCAGTTCAAATATAGCTGCCTCTTTCTTTTTTAAGGAATAAATAGTAAATGAGTAAAAAACCTTGGAGTCAGAAAAAAATAACAACAACTGAGTGGATGGTAGCCATGAGGGAAAGGAAGTAACCTTTCTTGATTTTCATCCTACAGGGCTTGATACTAAGTCCCAAATCATCCAGAACCTGGAAAAAGGCTTATTAAAGGAGTCAAGGCATAGAACTCACCCCTGGAAAACCTACCCTGAAAAGTTTCTTGGAGAAAAGTCTGGAGTGTCAGTGGCTCTTGCTCCTCTTTGGGTTTTGAGTAAACACGTTTTGCTCCTTCCCTCACTTTTGCAGTGACCATCTCCAGCTTGAGTATTTTCTGTGTCAGCATATCCTTCTGGGTTAGTGTTTTAATCTAGATGAGAAAAAGTGATACTAAAAGCAACTGTACTGGGCAGCAAATCATCAGGAAACATTCACACAGCAACTGTGATTATATCATGCTTAATACTATTAGGTGCATATAAATGCCTGAGTACTTTGTTCTCTTGTGATAATAGTTGGAGATTTTTTTTATGTCTGTTAATAAAAATTGTACTTTAGCTTTTTGGGCATGATGAAAGGAACCTGCTAACAAATGCTTGCTTGGTGTAAAGTTGGTTTCCTGAATTCCTTTTTTTTTTTGAGTCTGAGTCTCACTCTGTCACCCAGGCTGGAGTGCAGTGGCATGCTCACGGCCGTTCCAGCATCAACCTGCTGGGCACAGGCGATCCTTCCACCTCAGCCTTCTAAGTAGCCGGAACTACAGGCGCCCGCTACCACATCTGGCTAATTTTTTGATATATTGTAGAGATGAGGTCTCACCAAATTGCCCAGGCTGATCTTGAACCCCTGAGCTCGGGCAGTTCTCTTGCCTTGGCCTCCCAAAGTGCTGAGATCACAGGCTTGAGCCACCGCACCCGGCCTTTTTTTTTTTTTTTTAAGTCGGAGTCTCACTCTGCTGCCCAAGCTAGAGTATAGTGGCATTCTCATGGCCACTGCATCCTTGACCTGCTGGGTTCAGGAGCTCCTACCATTTCAGTCTTCCAAGTAGCTGGAACTACAGGTATGTGCCACCACGCCTGGCTAATTTTTTGATTTATTGTAGAGATGAGGTCTTGCCATATTCCCCAGGCTGTCTTGAACCTGTGACAGGGCTCAGGCAGTCCTCTCGCCTCCACCTTCCAGAGTACTGGGATTATAGGTGTGAGCCACCGTACCTGGCTCTGAATTACCTTTTAAAAGTCCTTTTTGAAAAAAGAAAACAAAAAAAAAGTCATTTTCCCTGTATTTCTTCATCTCATCTAACAGTTTTGAAAAATAGGCCAGGCTTAGTGGCTCATGCCTGTAATCCCAGCACTTTGGAAAGTGGAAGTGAGAGGATTGCCTGAGCCCATGGGTTTGAGACCAGCCTGGGCAACTTGGTGAGACCTCATCTCTACAATAAATCAAAAAAAAGCTGGGCATGGTGGTTCGTGCCTGTAGTTGCAGTTCCTTGGAAGGCTGAGGTGGAAGGACCACCTGAGCCTAGCAGGTCAGGGCTGCGGTGGCCATGAGTGTGCCACTGCACTCCAGCGACAGAGTGAGACTCCAACTAATAAATACATAAATAATTTGGGTGTGGTGGCATACTTGGAAGGCTGAGGCGGAAAGATTGCCTGAGCCCAGCAGGTGAGGCTGTGGTAGCCATGAGTATGCCACTGCATTCTTTCCTGGGTGACAGAGTGAGACTCCTACTCAGAAAAAAAAAATAAATAAATATTAGAACAACCCTTTCAGCTAGAGAATTCCTTTAGTGCAAGGATCCAGATTAGGAATTAAGGAAAATTAAGAAAAAACTCTAGGGAGCCAGCTCCAAAAAAGAAAGGAACCACTTGGATTCAAGGGATGGTGAGGAGAAAATGGGAGGGGAGGGAAACAGTATTTCAGAAACAACAATAAGGCCTGATTTTAAGAGCTACTTGACGGGATTTTTGTTTTGTTTTTGTCTTTGCAGATAGAATTTTATAACCTAGTCTTGGACAGATGTTTTGTAAATGATACTGTATCTCTGTTTGGGGTTGTAGAAAGTATTTCTGTGGTGGTGAAAGGGCAGGTATATGCTTGTCAGGGGGAGGGATCTTAGGAATACTTAAGAGCCCTGAATTTTCTGTTGAAAACACAACTAGCACTTATTACCCTATTCTTGATCTCCTGAAGCATTTCTTGGTTTCCTTCATTTTCTAAATTGAGTATCTTCATTGCCTGGTAAATTTCTCTGAAAGATAAAAAGGATTTAGATTGCTCTGCCCTGTCCTTAAAAAAGACATGGGGGTGGAAAACAGGACTCAAAGTCTGGCAAGAATACTAAATTCTAGTCCTAACTGCAGTTGCTAAGTCCTATCTGCAAAAATGGTATGATGCTTAGCTTGTAGAGGGGTTGTACAGTTTTTGAGATGATGTAGTTGAGGGTACAATAGGTAACATTTACTGAATACCTTTATGACAGACCTTAAACATATAATCTCATTGTCACAACCCTATAATGTAGACTAGGGGTCCCCAACTCCTGGGTCACAGACTGGTTTTAATTCGTGGCCTGTTAGTAGCCAGGCTGCACAGTGGGAGGTGAGTGGCATACAAGCAGCAAGGCTTCATCTGTATTTACAACTGCTCTCCATTGCTCACATTACTGCTTGAGCTCTGTCTCCGATCAGATCAGTAGTGGAATTAGATTCTCATAGGAGTGTGAAACCTATTGTGAACTCCACATGCAAGGGATCTAGGTTGCATGCTCCTTATGAGATTCTTTTTTTTTTTTTTTTTTGAGTTGGAGTCTCACTCTTGCCCAAACTGGAGTGCAGTGGCCACTCCCAGCCACCGCAGCCTCGACCTGCTGGGCACTGGCAATCCTTCCACCTCAGACTTCCAAGTAGCTGGAAGTACAGGTATGCGCCACCACGCCCAGCTAATTTTTGATTTATTGTGGAGATGAGGTCTCGCCAAGTTGCCTAGGCGGGTCTCAAACCTGTGGGCTCAGTCAGTCCACTCACCTCAGCCTCCCAAAGCACGGGATTACAGGCTAAGCCACTGAGCCCGGCTTCCTTATGAGATTCTAATGCCTGATCTGAGGTAGAGCTGAGGCAGTGATGCTAGCACTGGGGAGCAGCTGCAAATACAAATTAACATTGGCAATGAGGCTTGACTGCATATCCCACTATCCCACCCTGGTCTATGGAAAAATTGTCTTCCATGAAACCAGTCCTTGATGCAAACAAGGTTGGAGACCACTGATGTAGATTATCAACTGCATTTGATAAATGGACTCAGTTAAGTTCATTCCTCAGGCTCACATAACTTTTGCATACTGGAATTCAGACCCTGGTCGTTTTGACTCTAAAGCCTGTTGTAGATCCTTTTGTAGTTCAGAAGTTTGGTGATTGGGTTTTCATGCTCAGGTGAGAGATATGCCTCTCTTAAACCTTGGGATGTCAGGCATCTTATCTGTCTGACATGAGAAAAAAGCCTGTTGTCATAATAGGCACTTGGTAAATGGTGGTTGAATATATGAACAACTTAAAACCACCTTGGCAGGGAGAAACATTGCATGAACTACACGAACTTGACTTTCAGTCTAATTTAGGTCAGTTTTTCTGTTACCTACTTGGGAGTTTGTTTGCTTGTGAATGACACTGATGAGACAAGTGAGATTGTGCTTTGACTGCCATGAGGCAGCCTAGAAAAGCAGGGACGTATCCAGAGATCAGGGATGGGCAGGTTGGCAGAAAAAGAGGTCATGGTAGGAACTAGAGGTTTAGTGCTTACTTGAGAACAGCATCGTTGTTCTCCAGGAGTAGCACGTCTAGGAATGTGTCTCTGACCTGGTCCCCTTGAAGTTTGAGGGCCAGGATGCTACGGCAAGCTTCCAGTCGTACACCTGGTGACTCTTCATAGTGGATAGCCCAGAGCAGGAGATCTGTCAGCTGGGGGCTCACTTGCCCAATCTGCCCTAGAGCTGCAGAGATTAGAGAGCAGCATGTTCCACTGTCACTGAAGACTGAGCTGGCTATATCTTAGCATTCAGAAATAAATTGAGTTTGCAAACAATATCTTCCTTTTTTTCCCTTTTGGATGGTGATTGATCACACTAGAATTGCAGGGATAGTTTAGAGCGGACATTACCTCCAAGGGATTTCTAGAAGGGGATGTACCATCTCATCCTTGCCCATTAGGATGTGAACTTAGATTAACTTACATATTTTGGGATGAGATATGGGACAGATAACTTGGAAGACCAGCCTAGCAAGGCAGGATGACAGGGAAGGGAGGCACAATTACTTCACTTTACAGGTTTACCTAGAGCTGATCTTGCTGGGGACCTGCCAAAGTCTGTCTTAAAGAGAAGTAGTACCAAAGATCCTAAAAACAAACTAGGAAAATCAGTGGGCAGAGTTTTAGGTCTGTAGCAGTCTTGAAACCAGTCTGACCTTTACAGAGTGTGATAGTTGAAACCTCTAGGGAAAACAAGATGTATTCAACAGTGGTTACCTACTTGGAACTTACCCCCAATTCTCTTGGCAGTGACTGTCTCATTAGCCCTTTACCTTAACAAGTTTGACATAGACCTAGACTCAAGATCCTTAAGTAAAAATTAACAACAAGAAGAAAATAATCTTTTCCTTTTCAGTCAAGGAACTTATGAAAAGCTAAGATTGTCCCTTTCCCTACATTTTATCCCATTACTAGAAAGTTTCTGGGGATGATTTCTGCTAGTACCAGGAAAGGTATTTAAGATAAAGGAGTTGGGGCCCCCTTTCTGTAATACCTCGAATGGCAAAGGCCTTAATTTTCCAGTAAGGATCTCGCTGCATCAGATTCAGAAGGCATTTAAGTACCTGGGATGGATAAAAGACAGTGTTGAGTAGGTTTAACCAGGACAAGAGTGAACCAGAAACAGAGACCTCACTTGTCTCTAAAAGATGCCATAACGGAAAAATGGCCGTCTATCGACTCTAGTAACAAGTGAACTTGGGCCTGAAGTACCCCCAGTATGTGTCATGTGTTATCTGAATGATCTGGTGTCTATAAGTTGATTTTCATTAAAATAAAATTTTGGTGTGTGTGTTGGAGTCTCACTCTGTTGCCTAGGCTGGAATGCAGTGGCACACTCTCGGCCACCGTATCCTTGACCTGCTGGGCTCAGGCAGTCCTTCCACCTCAGCCTTCCAAGTAGCTGGAACTACAGGCATACACCACCATGCCTGGCTAATTTTTTTGATTTATTGTAGAGGTGAGGTCTCACCAAGTTGCCCAGGCTGGTCTCCACCCCATGGGCTCAGGTAATCCTTTCACCTCAGCCTCCCAAAGTGCTGGGGTTATAGTCTTGAGGCACTGCGCCCGGCCCGTAGGTTGGTTTTCTAAGCCCACATATCTGTGGCCATACGGCTTTTGAATACCTCAATTAGGTGTGCCCTAGTAACTAAGAATTATAACTGTGTTCACTGGAATTGATCCTCATGCCCATGAACACCCAGGTAATGAGAAACTAGTTAACTGAACTGAGAACAGAATCCGGGGTGTGTGCTAGAGTGAAGTCTCGGCTGACTAAATGGTCCCAGCTGACTGATGTGGCCTAGGTAAACCCATCCTTCCTGGGTCTGACCTCATTTTGTGTCCCACAGAATGGCAAGTACATTATACAACGAGGGAAGGGAATGCCCTCTTCGGGTCCATCAGGTAAAATGAGAACGTTTCCCTGACTCACCATCTTGTTGCGGATCTGCAGGGCACCGGCTGCCAAACAGGCTGCCCCCCGGACTGCTGTGAAGTCATCAGAGAAGCAGTGCAGGAAGCCTGGGAGAAGCTTGGCGGTCATGAGCTTGAGCCCACCTATGAGAGAGAGAGCTTCCACACGCTCCTGGGAATTTCCTTGACTCAGCTTGACCCTGTAAGGCACACGTTGCTTTTATTTCTCCTTCTTAAACTCTCAGTTCCTGCCGCCCCCACTGATGTCCTCAGTATAAATCCAAGTTCTGTAGGCTCTTCATTATCCAGCCTACCCTTTGCTATTCAGCCTTAGTCTGCTTGGTAAGTTTACTGGGTACAGACCTCTACTCTTTTATTTACATGAATTTCTGTTGCCTGGTATATACTGGGCACTTAACTATGTTGAATGAATGAAGGAAAATCCTTGTCACAGTCAAGTTCTCCCCTGGACTCACATGTGCCACGCTCATTTCTGGCCTGGAATGTCTATACAGCTTATCCATCCTCCCTGAACTTGGCCTTAACCTCTAGCCCACATTGAGTATTCCACTTTCCTGCTGGAGCAGTTATGGCATATGTCATTTGTCCTAGTTTTTAATGATTTGGTATTTTTAATTAGGTATCTGTGTATCTTTCCTGTGGTTATCAGAATCGTGTCATACTTTTGAACTCCCTCCAACACTACCTCGCACCTCGTGGGGGCTCCGTACTGCTTTCCCAGGCCACACAGTGAGTTTTTGTAGAGACCGTTAACTTTTTTATGGTGGGGCTTGGGCCAGCCCTGAGCATACAGAGCAACTCAACAAATGCTGGCTGGATCCCAGGCCCCCAGGAACTCCTAAGTAGGGAAGAGTCCTGCGTTGATCAGGTCCCACCTGATAGTGTTGTGCACCTCCTTCCCCAGGTTCATCTGCCCCAGTGCTTGTGCGGCTGCTTGCCGAACTCCTTTATTCCAGTCATTCCACATCAGCTGGATCAGCTTGTGTTTCATGTCCTGTCAATAGGTACAGTCATTTGCGACCACTCGGGGAATGTTAATTCTGTACTTGGCATCGTGCTGTTTTCTTTCTTTTCTTAAAAACTCACGGCTGTACTCATGAGTGTGCGAAGTGTTTTCACTCATCCCTTGATCTCCCGAACAATCCAGGGGGCAGGTGTTATTGCTACTTACAGATGACAAAATGGAGGCTTTGATTAACTTACTCAGGATTAACCTGGCATGTGCTGGAACTAGCATCCAAGCCTCTGTCTTTGCAAGGCTCACCCTTTATATAGTGTTAGTGCCAACAAAATATGTACTTGAGAGACTTAAAATCTGAAAGCGATACTCAATGGGTGACAAGCTCATCCAGTTTGCCTGTGACTTTCCTGGACAAATCAGGACAGTTGGTCTCCCTGTAAGTGTTCTCTCAGAGGGGAAGGGACAATTACTACATGAAGATCATGTAAATGTGCCCACCCTCTTCTCCCTGCTGGAAACACCTCCCTTCCCCACCCCATCACTTGATGTTTTCATACTCTTTTAGGATATAGCTCAAAAAGCATCCCCTAGTGGAGTCGTCTTTGCCCCTTATAAACACGGGAACGCCCCATCATACCTTATAGCTGCTTATAACATTTGCCAGGGAAAGGCATGCATTCCCGGTGCTAGCATGGTACCTGGCATGTCAGATATGGTCAGAAGCTGCCTGCTCACTGAGTGAAAAGATTCATAGACATGCTGCCTTTCGCAATTCTGGCAGTCTGACGTGAAGTCCTCATCATCTTTTCCCTGGCCCCCGCTAACTCTGCATGTCCTTTTACTTGCAGTTAGCAATCCTAAGAGCCAAGTGCCAAGGAGGTGAAGGTGAAAATGAATTGGATGTTGTTAAAATGCAGCTTCTGGCCGGGTACAGTGGCTCATGCCTATAATCCTAACACTTTGGGAGGCCGAGGTGAGAGAATCTCTTGAGTGCAGGAGTTTGGGACCAGCCTAGGCAACATAGTGAAATCTCCTCTCAACAAAAATTTTTTTTTTTTGAGTTGGAGTCTCACTCTTGTCACCCAGGCTGAAATGCAGTGGCACACTCATAGCCACCACAGCCTTGACCTGTTGGGCTTAGGATTTCCTTCCACCTCAGCCTTCCAAGTAGCTGGAACTACAGATGCACACCACCATGCCTGATGAGTTTTCATGACTTACTGTAGAGACGAGGTCTCACCAAGTTGCCCAGGCTGGTCTCAAACCCCCTGGCTCAGGCAATTATATTTCCTAGGCCTCCCAAAGTGCTGGGATTACAGGCTGAGCCCTTGTGCCCAGCCTACAAAAATTTTTTTAAAAATATTTAAGGCCAGGTGCAGTGGCTCATGCCTATAATCCCAGCACTTTGGGAGGCTGAAGTGAGAGGATTGCCTGAGCCGGGGGGTTTGAGACCAGCCTGGGCAACTTGGCGAGACCTCATCTCTACAATAAATAAATTAACTGGGCGTGGTGGTGCACACCTGTAGTCCCAGCCACTTGGAGGGCTGAGGTGGAAGGATTGCCTGAGCCCAGCAGGTCTAGGCTGCGGTGGCCATGAGCATGCCACTGCACTCTAGCCTGGGCAACAGAGTGAGACTCCAACTCAAAAAAAAAAAATTTAGCCAGTCATGGTGGTATGTGCTTGTAGTTCCAGCTACTTAAGAGACTGAGGCAGAAGGATCGCCCGAGACCAGGAGGTCAAGGCTGTGGTGAACCTGGTCATGCCACTGTACTCCAGTTTGGGCGACAAAGTGAGACCTTGACTCAAAAAAAAAAAAAAAAATGCAGCTTCTGACTGAGCTGGTCTAAGGTGGGAGGTTTTGCATTTCTGACAAGCTCCTGGGGCAGCAGCACTTGAGACAGTGACCCTCTCTGAAACCTCTTCTGGTGACTGCTATGCTGAGTAGTCAGATTCTTTGCCCTTGTATCAAAATGTGAGGGCTAAAGAATGGAAAGTGTTCGTCTATCATGGGAATGGCAGTATTCGGGGCCATCCTGGAGATACCCAGTGTTATAAGGAAAAGATGCTGTTTGGACAGCTGAAGATGATTGGAAAATGATGGCAAAAGGTTTCCTTGCTGGGCTTGGTGGCTCAGCCTATAATCCTGCGCCTTTGGGAGGCTGAGGTGAGTGGATTGCTTGAGCCCGCGGGTTTGAGACCCGCCCGGGCAGGCGAGACCTCATCTCTACAATAAATCAAAAAAATTAGCCGGGCATGGTAGCGCGCACCTGTAGTGAGACTCCAACTCAAAAAAAAAAAAAAAAAGGTTTCCTTGCCTGGAATTCCTTCTACATTTCTAGCTAGGCCCTATACTCCTTTACAGAACCTTAACTGATATGTTCACCCGCACCAGTCTCTCTGGAAAATTTTAAGGGAGTATCTTACATTTATTGCTTGTTCTTGGATCACGTGTATATGTTTGTTTTATTGCTCTAGCTACAATGTCAGGGTTTTGAAAGCGGGGACTGTTTTATATGTATGGGCCGAACACTCAACCAGCACAGACACCTATACAAGTAACAGACAACTATAGTTAGGTTGCTGGGTAGTTTAAGTCAGTGCTCTTCAGGAAGCAGATAGCAGACGCTCTTGCTGTTGTCCTGCCTGTTGTGCTTTTCACATTTCTTTCCTTAATAAATCTACCTTTCATAGTTAAAAACAAAAAACAAACAGTGCTTCTCAAATAATTTGTGATGAAGGAGAAAGTATGTCATTAGTGATACTTTTATAAAGTTCATTTCTATTGAGGCAATGTCAAATTACTATACAAGTTTCTAAACTCCTTTAAATTTATGTACTGTTTCATTGTGGATCAGTTACAGTTTAAGACTGCCACCACACTGAGAAGCCCTGACTTAAGTCACAGAAAGACATGTCGTCCTTTGAAGATAATTCTGGGCTAGAAGTTAGAAGTAGCAACGTGGAGACAGATCTATTTTGTAAGAATGGGATGTAGATAGTAACAAAAAGTGGCTCTGTCATGCTTAGGCTTTCAGTCCTGGAAGCAAAGAAAGAGGATGTTTACCAAGCAGACATTTCCACGGATCCGAGAGAAAGCCCTGCAGGCCACAATCCGGTCCTTCCATTGACAGCTGTTCAGCTCCAGGGCAAGCATGGTGTGTATCAGGGTCTGAGGACATGGAAGACTTGTATGATATTCACAGTCACTTTTAGAGATACTGGATCCTTGCACTTATACCCTAATGTGGCATCCTGCACAATTTTTTTTCCTTTGGTCAGAGTCTCATTCTGTCACCCAGGCTGGAGTGCAGTGGCACACTCATTGCCACAGCCTCGACCTGCTGGGCTCAGGTGATCCTTAAATTACCTGTTTTTACCCCTAAAATGTGCCTCACACTTGTGAGTTTCACATTTCAGTTTCACTGAAAGTAACTAAACACAGTTGTGGGTCTCTGCAGTTTTCAGTGGTGGACTTCTAGTGGAATCAAATTCTACATGTTACAGCTCCTTGCATACACAGAGACCATCTGCACCTGCTTTTCTTAGCTGGCTGTTGTCACTTTTCCTTGTAAACACCTCTTCTCCCAGGCTCACCCATACTTGGTTCGTTTTTTTTTTTTTTTTGAGTTGGAGTTTCACTCTGTCACCCCGGGCTGAAGTGCAGTGTCATGCTCATGGCCACCGCAGCGTCGACCTGCTGGGCTCAGGCAATCCTTCCGCCTCAGCCTTCCAAGTAGCTGGAACTACAGGCATGCACCACCATGCCCAGCTAATTTTTTGGTTTACTGCAGAGATGAGGTCTCACCAAGCTGTCGAGACTGGTCTCAAACCCATGGGCTCATGCAGTCCTCTCACCTCAGCCTCCCAAAGTGCTGGGATTATAGGTGTGAGCCACCCTGCCCTCGGTTCACTTTTACCTGGGCTTGAGATCATCAACCTGACCACCTGTATTTTAGATTCCTTACATGCACTGATCTCAAAGACCTGATTGTTCCCCCAAACTTGGTTTCTTTCTCTGACCCTGGAATGGACATTTACTGTCTTCCCACTGAGATGGCTCAGGAGGATACAAGACTGGTCCTCAGTGTCCTCACTCTTCTTGTTAAACAGCTCATGAAGGATCCTCTTTATCACGGCATAGGTGGCAGCACCTTCCAGAGCCAAGCACTGAGCTGCGGCCCAGCTGTCCACGCTGTTACCTGTCAAGTGGGTGGAAAAGGAGCTCAGAATGGTGTCTTTCCCCAGAGAAAACAGCCTTTGGATTGGCACCAAAGCTGCTACCTGCCAGATTTTTCACTTCCCTATGCTTCACTCACTCTAGAAATCTAATCCCTTAAACCACATTTAAATGGATCATATCAAGTTTTAAATATAAGCTGAAAATCTCAGCCTGAACAGTTAAATCTTTTACTTATTTATTTGTTTGTTTGAGTTGAAATCTCACTGTTGCCTGGGCTGCAGTGTGGTAGCACACTCATGGTCACCACAGCCTTGACCTGCTGGGCTCAAGCGATCCTTCCTCCTCAGCCTTCCAAGTAGCTGGAACTACAGGCACATGCCACCATACTCAACTAATTTTTTGATTTATTGTAGAGACAAGGTCTTGCCATGTTGCCCATGCTGGTCTCGAACTCTGGGCTCAGGCAGTCCTCTCGCCTTTGTCTCCCAAAGTGCTGGAATTACAGGCATGAGCCACCATGCCTGGCTGAAAAGTTAAAGGTTCTTATTAGGAAACTGAGACATAAGGCACTTCCAGCCTCGCTGAGAGTTGCAGTTGTTTTTCCTCCTGGAGATTAGGAAGGCATGGGCAGGAGATTTTCCTAATACAAAGAATTAAGCTGTTGAGTGTCTATATTCAGAAGGCCCAGGCAGTCTACCAGTTCCCCTTATCAAGTTAACAGTCCATCTCAGAGACAGCAGTTAGGTACCTTGGGCCTAATCATTGGACAGCCTTTTTTTTTGAGCTGGAGTCTCACTTTGTTGCCCAGACTGGAGTGCAGTGGCCGCTCCTGGCCACTGCAACCTCGACCTGCTGGGCTCCGGCGACCCTTC